CCTGGAATCGTCACCAGCTCCTGAACGCCTGTGCTCCTTCTGCAAACACAACGGCGAGTCCCGGGCCATCTATCAGTCCCACGTGCTCAAGGATGAGGCGGGCCGCGTGCTGTGTCCCATCCTGCGTGACTATGTGTGCCCCCAGTGCGGTGCCACGCGTGACCGTGCCCACACACGCCGTTTCTGCCCGCTCACTGGCCAGGGCTACACCTCTGTCTACAGCTACACCACTCGCAACTCAGCTGGCAAGAAGGTGTCCCGGCCTGACAAGGCAAGGATGCAGGATCCAGGGCATCGTCGAGGCGGCGCAGGAGCTGCAGCGTGTGCAGGTGGCTGGGGGACCTGGTGTGGGGGGGGGCCAGCCCTGGGCTTGTGGCTAAGACCTTGGGGTTAGTGAAGTAGGATTAACCCCTGTGCCCACTTTAGGGGGGCGGGTAGAAAATGAGTGTAGAAAACTTAGCACAATATTCTAGAAATGTTGCCCCGTGTGAATAAGCTAGAGCTGGGATTAATGTGTGGCCTTGGGCAGGGGACCTCTCTGGGTCCATGGGGAAGTTGCTGTCTTTTTCCAGGTATGGGTGCTCTGTTGGGAGGCTATGAGGACTTGTGACAGGATCTGTGGTTAGGGAAAGCAGGGGCTCCAGTCTTGCTTGGCACTTAGGAGCTGTGCAGCCTGAGAGAAGTTCTCAGCCTCTCTGAACCCATTTCCTCAAGTTCCTCCTTTGTTCACTCATTAGCCAAATGGCATGTGTGTGTTTTGTGCCAAGTGCTGGGCTGTGCCAGCAGTGGAAAAGGGTAGAAGGGAGAATGGCAGTTAGAACACTGTGATGAGTGCTGAATGGAGGAGTCTAAAGAAAGCACCTGATCCAGATGAAGGGGTCCCAGAGGGCTTCCTGGAGAAAGTGACTTCTGGAAGTCTAATTCGGTTTAATGGAGTGGGAGAAGTGAGGCCCAGGCACTGGGGCTTGTTCAGGAACTTGGTGAAATTCAGTGTATCTGGAACAAAAAGTGTCTGTATGTGTGGAAGAGAGGGAGGGGTCAGAGATTTGGGGGACAGGAGAAAAGTCTATAGGTCTTGGACTTGGGAACTAGGGAACCACGGAAGGGGCACGACGAGGTCTGCATGTTAGAGTGTGTTCGACCTTGGCTGACTGGTTGGACTGCGGGGACAGATTTAAGAGTGTTGGAAGGCAGAACACTAGTCCTCCAGGCAGAGGTGTCCATGGCAGCAAGGAGGGAGAGAGGCCTGGCACCTGGGGAAATGTGTGTTTGGAGAGGAACACTGTGAGCTCACTGTGTGTGCATCAGCTGGGGGCGGGGGGAGCTGCGGTCTGGCTCTCCCCGCCCGGCTTGGCCCACCGTGTGGGGTCACCCGGTCTCCTCAAATGTGGATTCCAGTTGTGCACGTCCTCTGCAAGTCTGGGTGGGGCCCCAGGACCTGCATTTCGAACTAACCAGCTCCCGGCCACGTGGAAAGGCCAGGGAGCAGGGAGGCTGCAGGCTTTGAGTAGTTGGAGCGAACATGGTATTGTAGATGCGAAAGGCCTCAGCTCCTGTGGGGTTTTAAAACAGAAATTGTTTTAGCAACTTTGTCTTTGCAGAAATCAGCCAACAGGGGAGGTGGGCCTGACTGCGCCTTATTCCTGCCCTTTTGGGTGCCCTGTGTGGGTACAGCCTCCCCATCCGAGTGTGAGCTCCCTGAGGGAGGTGACTGGGCGGGACGACCCCACCCTCACCCCCGGCAGCTGTGCCGCGAACATTTGTTGGATGAATTGAGTGCCTCCACAAGTAGATACTCTTCCCCCAAGAGACTCAGTGAAGCCCACCTGGGAGGTGGGGGAAGCTGAAGGGACATAGAGATGATGGTCTCAGAGCCTTCTTTTTTCTCTTAAGTTGGAGGGAACAGGAAAGTTCCCTTCCCCAGGCATGGAGGGTGGGGTGGAGCAGCTCTCACCACCATCCTGGTAGGCCCGCCTTCTGTAATGTTCTGGGTCTAACAAATCTGGGGTTCCTGGAGCCCTGCGGCCGCAAGGGGGCAGCACAGCCAGCCAGAGTTAAGAGTTTCTGTGCTTTGTGTCCGGCTGGGGATCCCACCCTGGGCTGGCCCGGCCTGGAGTGTCACACGGTTGCTATTCCAGGAGAGGCCTCCAGGTGGCGCCAGAGCCCCAACAGTTCTAAAGTTTTAACCTGTCCTTTGGGAGCACTGAATCATACCCTATTACTGTCTTTCTCCTTTTCCCCTCCACTTTTAAAAATCCAGGTTCCAAAGGTGCTGGGAAATCAGCTGGATCTTCGCCCTCTTCCTGCTGCCCCTCCACTTCTGCCTAGGAGACTGGTGCAGGGAGGATGGAGATGCTGCCTTCCCCTGGTGTGGGGACCCAGGCTCCATGGAGGATGTATTTTTGGGGAAGATCCACCTTGCAAGGACCTGGCCCTGGGCCCTTGCCCCAGCCTGGAGGCCTGGTAAGAGAGCAGGGCCTGGGAGCACAGCTGAAAGCGCCCCCATGAGGAAGGAGGTGTCCCTCAGATCCCCTGGCCCTCCCTCCCCAGCACTGGGCGCCCAGTCAGCACTCAATAAATGCTTACGAATGGATCAGCGGAGTAGGCCAGGTCTTGGGATGAGGTAGCGTGGACAGCTCCAGAGGGTCTGGGGCACTGCTCTTCTATCCTCGTTGCACTCATCAGCCCCCCACATGTTACTCTGACCCCCACTTTCCCCACCTGTTACCTGGATTTTGGTTCATCCTGGAGCACTGGGTGAGCTGCTTTATGCTGAGAAATGGAAGTGGGCACCACAGGGGGACTGTGGGGTTTTGCGGGGTCACCCCAGCCCAGCACTTCTGAGCATGGCACTCGCCACTAGGTTAGCCCATGAAGCCATTTCTATGACGTCTGGTATTTTCAAACTCCCTTCCAGCCATCCCTCACACAACGACATGCCACATGGGTAGAATTCTCCACACTGGAGGTGGGGGCCTGATCTGAGAGGGGATCTGAGAGACAATTAGACCGAGCCCTCCCTCCCTCCTCCCTCAAATCATCCTGACCAAAGAGGCCCTCAGTGAATGATAAGATCCTCACAGATGCCGCAGCAACCAGGGCCATGGAGCCACATGCCAGACCCTTCAGATAAAGGGAAGGACTGGGCGGGGGGAGGGCAAGGCTAGGCAAAGAATGGAATATGTCCTGGGGGGTTGGGCCAGCCAAGACCTCGGGCAGGAGGCACCATGGAGGTGATCTGGCTCTGCTTGGGCAGAAATGGGAAGGAGATGGAGACTATCACCTCCCAGGCAGTGTGATCCAGCTCTCCCAGGCCAGGGCTGTGCTTGTGGGAATCCTCCAGAGGGCAGCAGGTGGCAAGTGTCTGTTCAAATTCTTCCCCAAGCCAAGGGCTGGCCTGGGGACCCGGCCTCCATCCGTAGTAGCCCACACTGTCTCCCAGTGGGAGTAGGATTTGGACTTTGGAGGACCCTCTGGCCTTGGCTTTTGGACTTGAACTGGGTCCTGAGGCCACCCAAGGAGGAGGACTGGGGTGAGCTGGGGATGGGAGACAACCCTTGAAGATAGCCTATTGCCCAGGGGAGGGGAGGAAGAGAAAGACAGAGGAGGGCTCCTTAGCAGCCCTAAGAGTTTCTAACTGAGTTAGGGGACACAACATCCCAGTTTTCCCCCAGCTGTTTGCAAGTGCTGATTGTATACGCCAGAGCCGCTGGGGTTAGAGACCCAGGGAACCAGGAGAACGGGCATGTCCTGGCAGGTTCAAGGAAGGAGCTGAACATCCAGCCAGAAGGGGTGGAGGACCTTGACCCCGCCTCTCTTCCCTCCAGAATGGGGTTTCCCAGGGTCTAAGAAGGCAGTGGGAGGGGGGGGAACCTGCCTTGACTGTAGGAATTGGGGTGTGGGAGTCACAGGCCAAAGGACGAATAAAATCTCTGGTCTGGCCAATCTTTTAGTAAGCAATTTAGAAGCAGTTTTCTATAAAATGGGTTTGGCAGCAGCACCTCTTAGGACAACATCATCAGGGATGTGTAAGCCTTGCCCTCAGCACCCTGCGGGCACTAGCGGTGTATCAGCAACAGTCCCCCAGGCCCGCTTCCTTCCAGTCTGGGGCCTAGAAACAGCTCGTGCTTTGGAGGATGGGCAAGGCCACCTGAGCCCATCAGAGCACCGAAAGCAAACCTGCCAACTCTTCAGTTGGGTGATTGGCTACGATGTCTCAGTGGGCTTGCTCTCCACAGATACAGGGGTGTCTGAGCTTGAATGTGTACACATACGTGCACACACACAGCCACCCGCTCCTGGAGACTCTGACACATTCAGTAACTTGTGGGGACCCCCTTGATTCACCGGGCCCTGTAGTAGCCCAACCTGCCTTCCTGGGGAGGATGAGAAGTAAAAGGATAAAGAGGTGGTTAGGGAGGTTTGTGAGCGGAACATTAAAGAACTGAAAATACCTCAAACCCCAAATAGCAGGTCACAGATCCACACCAGGGAATGATTTATTAATGGTTTAACCAGAAGAGATAAAATGGAAATCTGGAGAAAAACAGAGGTACCAACAAAGGGAGCCCTTTTCTCTACCAGGAGAAAAACAAATTCTGAACCTCCAAGCTAAACAATGAAATTTGCAAATCCAGATAAACATTTGGGTGGCTCTGGGCTCTGCTCAGAAGCAGCTGGCTTCCGGAGCGCGGGGGGCACAGCCAGCCTCGTGCCTGTGGCCTCTGCTGTAGCCCCAGGAGGGAACAAGTTACATCCCTCAGAGGCTGTTGACATGGGCCTGGCCTCTTAGGTTTCCCATGGGAAGCAGACTTCCGGGTCATCTGAGGGGAGGCTTCCGGGGCCCACTAGGGCCTGCTGGAGCATCTTACAGGATAAACCAGGGGGCACACAGGGCCCCACAGGCTTTCTGGGGTCTGCTGAGGGACTGCTCCCAGCTGTTTGGCAGCAGCACTTCTGGGGCCAGCGCAGAGCAGAAGCACACAGGCGCTGAGCACAAGGCACTTCTGAGGTGGTCTGGAAGTGGTCTACAAATCCCTCCAGGACCGCTCCCCTGGAGGGAGATTCCCAGCCCCCTTTGGTGTATAGGGTGCCGGGGCTTTCCCTGCCAGCCTCGCCTTCGCCTTCCGGTAGCTGAGGCGCTTGAGGGCCTCCAGGTCCCGGTGGGTGCTCATGATCAGCCGGCTGCACGGAAGCGTCAACGGGAGCTGTGTGGGCTCCACCAGACACCCGAGTGGCTGCTCACGCCCCCGCACAAGCTCGCACACACGAACACTCCACAGCTCTCGGACACACACAGAGGCAGAGGCAGGCACTGGGCCCTCCCAGCCATCCCCCAAGGCCCCATCCCCTCTGCCGCCCCTCCCAGCCGGTTCCTCCATGGATCCCAGCCCAGGGCTTACTTCAGGTGGGAGAGCTCAACAACGAGACCCAGCACGGTGTCTGTTGCATCCTCCATCCTGGCGGCCTCACAGCCTTTGATGCCTACACAGGTCCTGGCGGGAAAGGAGGGAAGACAGGAGGTCTGACCTCACTGGACAGCCCTGCCAAACTCTGTTCTGGGGGCTTTTGGAGGGCCTGGAGTGGTCTTCTCTAGATATTAATACCTTTTCCAGATATGAAGCCACCAGAGGCAGAGCCCTGATGGCCAACCCAGCTGGCTCTACCATCGAAAGCACACCCAGAATCCAGCCTCTTCTCCCCACCACCTCGGACCCCATCTGGACTGTGGCCACGGCCTCTCTAGCTCCCAGTTCCTGCCCCTACAGCCTGTGCCCCACTCAGCACTGGGGTGGAGTGGGGTGTGAAAACAGAAACCCCGTCCAGCATCCCCCCTCAAAGCCCCTGCACCATCTGCCAACACCTCCGGACCCCCATCCCCTCCCTTCTCCTTCCCCTTCTCCCTTCCTCCAGCCACAATGAATTCCTGGCTGTTCCCTGAGCACTTCGGAGGGCCCTGGAATGTTCTTTCCCCAAAGTCTCCTCCTGATGGGGGGAGGGAGCCTTCTCTGATCAACACTTTAAAATTTTAACCCCTTCCTCACTGTCTTTCTCCTCAACACTCCACCATCTGACTCATTTGCCTGTCTCACCTTCCCACCCCCACCAGAGGGAAGCTGTGTGTTTTGTCCCACATTGTCTGCCCATGCCCACAGCAATTCCTTGAAGAGCTGGCACTGGATGGCGTTAGTATCCACGGAAGGGGCAGAAGCACCACGGCACCCCTGTGTCTAATGCATGCGGCCTGTGGGTGTGGGCAGAGGGCTGCCCTCCTGGACTCGGCCAGCAGCTGTTCCTAAATCCTCCTCCACCCCAGCATGCCAGCGTCTCCTGGGCTGTCACCACAGGAACTCCAGCTCCACTCCACCCACTGCAGTCACCCCGAGATGGCATGTGGGCCTGGCCTTAGCTGATGCTTGTCTCACTCAGCCACAGGCCACTGTGCCAGACCCATGACCTGCCTGGGGGCCTCCCCATGTCCTTGTGGGTCATATCAGAGGCCACTGGAGATTCAGACAAGAAGCTCCCTTCTCTTTGCTCGAATAGTAGTAGAGCCGCTCTAGCTAAACTGCCTCTGATCCCGTGCAGGGCGTGTGTGTGCGTATGTGTGTGCGTGCACGCGCGCACGTGTGTGGCAACAAGTGGTACAGCAGGTACTAGGTACAAATGTGTGCATGCGCGGGAGGTGAGAACGTGGTCACCCTCTACCCTGAGGAGGAGGAGGAGAAAGAGAAAGGAGACCTGCTCTGCCAAGGGCTGTGTCCCTCACCCCTCCTCCACACCTCTTGCCAGACACAAACAGAAACTTGGCCATGAATAATCGATAAGCTGCAGCCTCTGCAGAGAGGCCAGTTCAAGTACAAGGTAACAGGAGAGGACTGTCACCCAGTGCTAACAGCTGGCGGGGCTGGGAAAAAGGGAGGTGAGGGACTATGAGAGGCTCTGCAGTGGAGACAGAGGACCCGCCAACACACACACACACACACACACACACACACACACACACTCACACACACATTCTCTCTCTCTCTCTCTCTCTCTCTCCAAGGCCTGCAGGAGGGAGAGAAAGCAGCCTGCCTCAGGGCACTGAGCCAAGTGAGGTGATGGGACAAGTCAGGAACTCTGCAGGGCCCTCTGGATGCCAGAGTGGGGAGAGGCCCCCAAGACCAGTGATTTTTAACCCCTGTCTGGGTCCCCTTCCCCTCCACAGAGATTCAGGGTAAGCTCTAGATCCTCTCTCCAGAAAAACACCTAGTTTGTTAAAACAACCTATGGAACTGGGGGTACTATCCCAGGGGCCCTGGGGAGACACTCCGGTTTAGCTGTAGATGGGAGGATCACCAGCGCTGCACTTGTGTAGAATGAGGGCTGCACAGTGTGAAAGAAGGGACTCGGCTCCCTCATGGAGGCCCATGGAGGGAGAGTGTCGGGGTGCCAGTGCCAGGAAAGCAGTGACACTCTCCCCTCCCAGGGACTTAGGGACAACTGCTGCTGGGACAAGAGTCCTGGGTTAGCCTCCCCCTTGCCTACCTCAGCTGGAGCTCCGTGAGAAGCCTTCCATCAGCATGTGGGCTTGTGCCAGGCCAGCAAGAGGCCAGCCTGCTCCCGGGAGGAAACAACTGTAAAGAGGGCACACACACGTGAATGGCCTAGCTGGTTGAGCCGCGCACGGGGAAGGAAGAGCTCATGCTGGGAACCTCTCAATTCTCCTGGGCCATGCCAGGAGCACGGAGGTAGAGACCCCTGCAGAAAAGTGATGAGTGAAGGGACAGGATGCCGTGACAGCTAAACCTGGGGGCCACCAACCCGGGTTGCTCTCGCCCTCCCCACTCAGAAGGAGCAGACAGGGCAATGTTAGGCCTGACCCTGGTGTCCCCTGCCGAGCCTGTGCTTTCTGAAGGGCTGATCTGTGTTGGACGATGGCTCTGTTCCTGGTGGCTGAGGCGTGGCACTGCCTCCGGCTCATCCTGCAGTATCTAGAAAGGTACAGAGAGGACCCTCCGTGATGGTGACTGGAGCGAAGTGGGCATCTGGTGTTGAGGGGAAGAGGCCGGCTAAGTAAGCCACCTATTTTGTGTCAGGGAAAGATTTTAGAAATATATGGTAAGGGAGAAATTTATAGTTAATAGCGGAGAGAGCCAGATAAACCGGAGAAGCTTAAGTTTCTAAATGTCAACGGTGGTTTAATTTTCATGGAAAATGTCAAGCTCCATCATGGAGGGGACATGGGTCCCTCTGAAGAGGCAAAGAGGCTGGGGTGGAGTGGCCAGTCCACGGCCTCTTCTGAGGAGACCAAGTCCTGGAGTAAGAAGGGATCTGTTCCAAAGACATAATTTCAAAGGCAGGCCCCTCTCCCCTGCCGGGTGGGGGATGGGATGGACGGCTTGAGCTGCAGCTTAGAGCCGCAGATCGTCCCTGAGTCTCCAGAGCAGATGCGATGAACGGCCTGTAGCCCGACGGTTCTCACCGGGGGACGATCACCCCGAGGCACTTCACGCTGGTCAGCACACTCTGGTGGGGGGACCTCTACTGGCATCCAGTGGGTAGAGGCCAGGGGTACTGCTCAGCACCCAAAATTGCACAGGACAGCCCCACCACAGAGAACTATCTGGCAGCAGTACCGAACCGGAAGCCTGCTGTAGACAATACAGTATCTCCCAGGCATCTGGCCTCCTGTTCCAGGTAAGTGGTTCTTTGGTTTAAAATACAACTCACCCAACTCAATGCACCATTTTCAGCCGTGAGGACTCTTACCTCTCCTAACACTCCAACCACTGCTCCCACCTGGGCTGTGTACACGTTTGACACAAAAAGGGCAGTCCCTGTACTGAATGTGCTGGAAGCCATCACTGTAAGACCCAAGAGGGCCCTGGAATCAGCTTGTAATTTTTAAAGATTTTATTTACTGGGGCACCCTGGTTCATGCAGTTAAGCATCTGCCTTTGGCTCAGGTTATGATCCCAGGGTCCTGGGATCCAACCTCACAGTGGGCTCCGTGCTCAGTGGGGAGCCTGCTTCTCCCTCTGCCCTTCCAGCCTGCTCATGCTCTCTCTCTCAAATAAATAAACAAAACCTTAAAAAAATTAAAACAATTAAAAAAAGATTTTATTTACTTATTTGAGAGAGAGCAAGCGAGAGAGCACACGCAGGGGGAGCAACAGAGGGAGAGAGAGATTCCCCACGGAGCACAGAGCCCAACGCAGGGCTCCATCCAGGACCACCAGAGCCAACGGCAGATGCTTAACCGACTGAGCCACCCAAGCGCCCTGGAATCAGCTTTTATGTTTTTTTATTTTTATTTTTTTTAAATATTTTATTTATTTATTTGACAGACAGAGATCACAAGCAGGCAGAGAGGCAGGCAGAGAGAGAGAGAGGAGGAAGCAGGCTCCCTGCTGAGCAGAGAGCCCGATGTGATGCGGGGCTCGATCCCAGCACCCTGGGATATGACCTGAGCCGAAAGCAGAGGCTTTAACCCACTGAGCCACCCAGGCGCCCCTGGAATCAGCTTTTATTTATTTATTTATTTTTTTTTTTTTAAGATTTTATTTATTGATTTGACAGAGAGAGATCACAAGTAGACAGAGAGGCAGGCAGAGAGAGAGAGAGAGGGAAGCAGGCTCCCTGCTGAGCAGAGAGCCCGATGTGGGACTCGATCCCAGCACCCTGAGATCATGACCTGAGCTGAAGGCAGCGGCTTAACCCACTGAGCCACCCAGGCGCCCCTGGAATCAGCTTTTAAATGACACTCCTTATGCGCATACAGAGGCTCCACCAGCCCTGTGGTGAGTGTCACATCCTAAGGGAGCTACTATAAAAAGAAAATACCACGCTTTCCTGTAGGGGGACCTAGGTTTGACACTGGTCTGTCCCTGCTGTGTAACCTCTGTGAGGCCTCCTCAGAAGCAGTGCTCACAGCTGACCCACTGTGGTCGGGGAGGGCCTCTTGGTGGGAGGCCACTTCTGCCACTCTCTCCATCCACCTGATTCTGTTCCCAAGTGTCCCTGTCCACCAGCCTTCCTGCCAGGCTCTATCTGGTACCTTTCTGTGGGAACCTGCTCATGCCGAGGTCGCCTTGACATGTTTGGGAACGCCCGGTATCAAAACAAAATGTGTCTGGACGTCAGCAATCTTGTCAGGGCAGCGCCTCTGCCCCTGAAGGGCCTGTCAGGTCTGACCACCCCGGCTGTCTGCCATTCCCTGCCTGCGGATTCCTTGGTGTTTTAAAGCCCAGAGTCAATGGTAGCCAGCCCATCAGGAAGGACTTGCTCCTTTACCTGCTGGATGCCGCTAAATGTCCCAACCGCTTCTCCTTTAGCCACTGACCAGCAGCCTTTTCTTTCCAAGGGAGGGATTTACATTGTTTAATGGATGAGACTCCAGTTATAAAATTTCAGCTGTGCCCACACCTGCACGCCTACCTATCCTAGGTGATTGTGTTCAGACCCTAGGCCTGGACTGCACTGTGACTTGCTTCCCAAGATCTTGCTCATCTGGCAATTGAGAAATGGGTGGCGCAAGGAGTCGGGGGCCCCCGTGTAGCAGGGAGGGCCTGGTCTGACGTCACCTTGCAGGTGAACACTGTGAAGAGCCAAAAATGACCCCTGGCTCTCCCTTGGGAAAGCGGCACCTTGGAGACCCGCATTTGCCCAACCCAGCCGCATTCCCCTCTGCGGCTGGAGCAGCTGGCTTTCTTCGGCTCGGTACCAGAGGAAACACTATGCCTGTGTTTCAGGGCCATATCATATGAAAAGACTCTTTAAGTGCTGAAATGATAGTGTACAGAATGTCCACTCTGGGATGCAGGTGGGAACGGTACTACCACAAACCTCGCAGGGGCAGGGACCACGCCTAATCTGTTGACTCCTGGCAGAGCAGGCCCTTGATAAGCATGTAACTGAATTAATGTTTTAAAGATCTCAACAGGACAGCCAGAAAAACAGAGGCCGCTGTTTGTGAAGCAAGCTGGGCTCCGTGCTGCAGGACAAGGCATCTGAGGCACAGGTGTGGAATCAGGCCAACCGGGGAGCAGACCCAGCCTGTTTCCCTCCTAGCTGTGTCACCTTGGGCAGGTGCCTGGACTCCTTCAGCCTCTTAACCACACCCAGGATGTGGAAAGAGAACCACCTACCTCCCAGGGTGTGACTGCAAAGCACTTAACCCAGACCCCCGTGTGCCAGTGGTGAGGGATGTGGCGCTTCCCTGGGGGCGGGGCCAGAGCAAGGCTGCCACCTGCCCCAGACAGGTGAATGCCAATGGCCTGCATAGGTTCAGCAGCTGCGGAAGGAGACATTAGGCTGCTCTCCCACTGCCTGTTGAGCAGGCAGATCCCTGAAGGAAAGCAGAGTCCCTACAAATTCCAGCAGGAAAGCAAAATTCTGTCTATGTTTGAAAAAAAAATCGTATCAGGACCCTGAAATGACCTTTAAGGTGGACAAAGGCTCTTTCCAGTTGGGGACTGAAGTCCTCTCCCCTAAGCCCAGTCCTGACATGGCTGGTTTTTTTCAAAGTTATCGCTCAAGGTCTTAGGCAGTCTCTGTGTATCTCTCAGAAACCTGCCGCCAGGGGCCCCTGGGTGGCTCAGTGGGTTAAGCCACTGCCTTCGGCTCAGGTCATGATCTCAGGGTCCTGGGATCGAGTCCCACATCGGGCTCTCTGCTCAGCAGGGAGCCTGCTTCCCTCTCTCTCTCTCTGCCTGCCTCTCCGTCTACTTGTGATCTCTCTCTGTCAAATAAATAAATAAAATCTTAAAAAAAAAAAAAAAAGAAAAAGAAACCTGCCACCAGAGTCAGGCCCTGAAGTGTGGAGAGAACTGGGGGCTCCAGTCAAGAAAGGGAGAACCTCCATTAACTCTGCCTAGGCTGACAAAATATGTGCAGGTCACTGCCCGGGGCTCTTCAGCTCCCAAACAGACCCCTTACAGAAAGGCAGGTCTGTCCTTTCTGGAAAATCACTGACTCCATACCCACCAAATCTGCAACTCATTCCTCTAGATATGTGTGGCATATAAGCAGACTGTCATGCACCCCAAATTCCACACACCCCCCTACTGGGTGGTTTGGGAGAGGCTCATGGCCACTTGACACCTGTCCTGGGATGGTCTGCCACAACATGGGGAAGCTCCTACCTGCTCAGGTGAGGCTTCGAAGTCAGGGGCTTCCAGGGCATCCCGTATCTGGCTGTCTGGCAGGAAGTCAGGTTCCATGGCTGGGGACTCCCCCAACACAGCCTGGTCTACAGAGCCAGGAGGGGGCTCATGCCAGCCTGTGGGGTCCGCAGGGACATCTATGCTGTCCTGGCAGGCCCTGGTCTCCTGCGAAGGGCCACCCACTGCTTCTCTGTGCACCGGTGGAGCAAAGGCTCCAAGAGACAGACTGAATCCCTCAAGGTCTTGTTCAGGGCTCTGGCGACCTAACTCAACTGCTTTTTTACCTGTGGACTGCAACAGCAAAGGCAGTGCACACACACCTCCCAGCCCCTCTCGATCCAGGCCAGGCACCTTTGTCTGATTAATACCTGGGCCCATTTCCGAGGCTAGAAGACTGAAATCTCCTGCACCTATCGTGGGCTCTCTTATCCTGTGACCCAGAGCCAGGCAGGCTTCAGGACCCCCTGGAATGTTGCCGGGGAGCTTGTCTTCCCACCCTGCCTCCCCTCTATGTCCTGTCCCCCCACTGAGAGGTGTGCCACTGAGCAGGGTCCCACTGCAGCCTCCATCAGGGGCCTTCCCACTGGGACAAGGAGGTGCCCTCGTGTTGGCCTGCTCATCTGGCCCGATAACCTCCGGAGCCCTCTGTTCTGGCTCAGTGGGGTGTGTGCTCAGATCTTTGATGACAACGGTCCCAAGGGAGGAGTGTCTTGGGCTGCTACAACTCTGTTTTGCTTCCTTGCCAGTCTCGCTGGTTATCTGCAAGGTGTCAGGGAGGCCCTGGGCTGCAGATCTGGGCTCCGGGCCCTGAGTGATGGGACCTACGACACTGTCTCCTTCCTCCTGATGCCTCTCAGGCAGGTCAGCCCCTGCTCCCCCTCGGGGACTTGCTTTCTGGAGCGCTCCTTGTTCTGACTCCTTATCTGCAGCACCATCGCTCAGCAGGGGACCTTTCTGGCCATGATAGCCTAGAACCCAACACCCTTCCCTGCTTTCACCCTCTGGTGTGTTGGTTACTTGCTCTAACACGTGGTCCTGGCTGGCCCTCTTGGAGGCCAAGGGCACTGTCCCCCATTCTGGAGAGGCATCAATGGAGGCTGAGGGCTGAGGGTTCCCACTGCCAGGCACACGTGTCATGGGCTTTTGGTCTCTGTGCTCAGGGTGGGTGCTGTCTCTCTGGGTCTGGGCACTCAGCTCCCTGGCCTCCCAGGGAGCAAGCCCTAGGGATTCCTCCCACGGCTGGCTTCCGGCCTGCTGGGCACTGGGCTCTGGTGGTGTTTCCTGTGGAGAGAAAAACACTCAGCCTCGAGCTTTCAATTATCAACCATTTCTAAAGATTTTTTTCTTTTTTTTTTTTAAGTAGGCCCATGCCCAGCGTGGAGCCCAATGTGGGGCTTGAACTTATGACCCTGACATTAAGACCTGAGCTGAAATCAAGAGTTGAACACTTAGCTGACTGAGCCACTCAGGTGCCCCAAGACTTTTCCAGTTGTAATTACCCCCCATATAAAGTCTCAGACACTGCACATGATGTCCCCAAATAACATTCAGTACCAGTGCTGGCCATAGTTAGAACCAGGGGCTGCACGGGCAAGAGGAAGCACAGGAATCCCTCCTTCCATCAGCTCCTTTCCACCAGCACCAGGCACACAGAGGCTCTTGGACAGATCAAGGATACAAAAATCAAGGAGGCCTGTGGATTGTGCCCATGTTGATTGCCTGGTGCTGGCAAAAGATGCTAGTTATAGAACACATTACCCCTGGAGGAAACGGGAGGAGAGCACACATAGACCTCTCTGAAGTGTTTTGTTTTTTCGTGGTAAAACACACATTACATAAAACTCGGCATCTTAACCATTTTGAAGTGTACAGTTCAGCACCATAAAGTACGTTTACTTTGTTGTACAAACATCACTATGATCCATCTCCAGAACTCTTTCCATCTTCCCAGACCAAAACTCTGTTCCCACGAAACAACTCCCCATCCTTCTCTTCCAGCACCTGGTATCCACCAACTATTTTCTCCCTGTACAATTTTTTTCTTTTTTTTGAGAGACAGTGTGTATGCACCATGAGGGGTGGGGGAGAAGAAGGGAGAGAATCTTAAGCAGGCTCCAGCACGGAGCCCAATGTGGGGTTTGATCCTATGACTCTGAGATCATGACCTGAGCCAAAATCAAGAGTTGGGACTCTTAACCAACTGAGCCACCCAAGAGCCCCTGCCTCCTCTAGGGACCTCCTATAAATGAAATCCTATAGTATTTGTCCTTTTGTGGCTGGCTTATTTCACTGAGCATAATGTCCTCCAGGTTCATTTATGTTGTAGCAGGTGTCAGAATGTCTTTGCTTTTTACGGCTGAATAATATTTCATCATATGGATATGCCACATTTTGTTTATCTGTTCATCTACTGATGGACACTTGGGTCTGGGCTATTTTTGCAACTTTCTAGGAGTCCATACTTATTTCAAGATAAAGACTTAAAAGAGCAAGAGGGAGAAGGAAGTGAAGTGAAATGTCCTTAACAGAGGTAGAGATGACCAGAGCAGGGTGGGAAAGGAGGGTTCTGGCTGGGACATAGATATGTAACTGTCCTTTAGGTAGATGGCAGCTCAATCCAGGCTCTCAGGCCTAAACCTCCAGAAGCACTGCAGCCCCTGGATCTCCCCCAGGTCTGGATGCTGGTAGCCAACATTTCCACCTGGTATCTCCCAGTCATCTCCGACGATGCATGGCTGACACCAGCTCCTGAGCGTGCCCTCAGAGGCTCCCTGTCTCGACCACAATAACTCCATCCTTTAAGCTATTCAGGTCCCAAACCACGGAGTCAGCCCTCCATTGACTCCCTTCCCCTCACATCCACGCCATCAAGTCTCCCTCCAAACTGGACAGCAAATAATTACATTTGGTAGGTAGGGACAGAGGTTTGTACCCAAGGGCACTCTATAGACAGTTGTCCACCTTCCCACACTTCTCTCATGCAGTGACCAGTGCTGAGGGAGAAACCTCTGCCACGGTTACTCCCTACACCAATCAGGCCCAGCCTTTCTAGGAGGGTGTGCACTGCCAGTATCAGACCACTGAAGGCCAGAGCCTGTCAATTTGGCTTCAGAGAAGCCACTGGCAACCAGCTGCTGAGTTACACGGTGTTTCCGGCAGTCAACAGTGAAGCTAGGACACCTCTTACTAGTTAATTAACTTTAAGTAAGCTCTACTCCCAACATGGGGCTTGAACTCACAACCCCAAGATCAAGAATCACATGCTCCACTGAGTGAGCTGGTCAGGCGCCCCAACGCTTCGTTTTTAAATTAAACTTTTTGTGAGATCATTGTAGATTTATATGCAGTTATGAGAAATGATGGGGAAAGACTCCTCATGCCCTTTACCCGGTTCCCCCAGGGGTAACATCTTGCATAACTCAAGTACAATATCACAACCCAGACGCTGACGTCGATAAAGTTCACCGACCTTGTTTGGCTTTCCAGTTTGAGTTATGCTTGTTTGGATGTGTGTAGGAAGTTCCTTCTCATGGTGGAGGCTGTGCATCCACCACACAGACAAGATATGAAAAATCGCCACCATGGGATCACTGTGCTGCCATGTGTAGCCACACTCGCCTCCCTCCACCCTGCCAACCCTGCTCCAACCCCCTGCAACCACTAACCTCCCCACCATCTCTACAATTTTCTCATTTCAATAATGTCATGCAAATGGAACCCTGCAGTGTATCACCTTTTGGGACTGGCTTTTCCCACTCCACACAATGCCCTGCGAGTCCATCCAGATTGTTGCGTGTTTCACTAGTTTGTTGCTCTAGATAGAGCCCATCTAGGTTGTTGCTGGGTTGTGTACCATGGCGTGTTCAGCCACTCACCCACTGAAGGATATCTGGGGTGTTCCCAGTTTGGGATGATTACAAACACAGCTGCTGGGAATGCCCACCCCTCACTTGTGCAGGGGCCTCTGTTGCCAGAGACATCATCACCCTCAGAGCTCACAGTGGAAAGGACGAGAGAGTATATTTTAAGACCCACCCTCCTCCCCCAAACCACACAAAATCTTCCAAGAAGCAAAGGGGTTCAGGGATAGAATATGGGCTGTCTTTCTGCATTTTTACTATTCTTATGCATCCTGGGGAAGAGGGCTGTGGCCTTGACCGCTTTGCTGCAGGCACAGCTGTCCTGAGCACCTCGCATAGGCCTGGTATGCACTCCACAGACATCTGTAGCACAGTGTACTGGAAAGGGGCACGCTGACCAGTGCAGGTCTAGCCAGTGCCAAAGAAGACCAAGGCTGAAGTCAGCTGCCAAGGATGGGCCAAGAAGAAGCTGTATCTACGGGGCTGACCTGGCTGATTTTAGGGGCTCCGTCCCTGAGGTCCACTTCCCTCAGCTCTGCTTGTCCTGTCACTGTCTTCCTGGGTTTAGCAAACTGGGGGACAAACCTCCTGGCTGGGTTCTGTGAACGGGAAACAAGAACAAAACAGCAATAAAGATAAGGGGAGGAATGAGGTTTCAGAAAACAAATGCTAAACCAGTTTCTTTCTTGCAGCATCAAATGCAGCCCTTGCCCTCCATCACCAGCACACAGTCTCACCAGCCTGTCAGCCTTCTGGTGAGGAATGGAGACAAGAATTCCAGCTTAAGGGAGGCAGTGTCATTGGTTCATTCATGAGGCCCTAAAACAGGCTCACCTGGGAAAGAGGAGAAGGAACTGGCTCCTTTTCTGGTTGCCCAAGGAGCCTGGAGGGAGCTCCTGCTTCTTCATCATGGGAGCTGGATGGAGAAAGACAAAACAGGGGAGGTTCGGAAGTCCTGGGATGCTGTCAGTGCATGTGGTGAGGCAAACAGAGGAAAGTGGTGCTCAGTCTCCTGTAAGGGAGGCAGGCCCTAGAGCACGTGCCTAGAGAGGATGGGAGGGAGAAGGGAAGCAGTGCCTATGGTGACACTTGGCTGACAAGAAGGGTGCAGAGACCCACAGCTAGAATCCAAGCTGTCTGCTCCTGCAGCAGTTAATCCTTGTAATTCCAGGAATTGGCTCCTAAAATAAGAATAAGAATTCCCATTTGGAATAACACTCCAACCCCCAACTCTATAAATTCTAGAGAAATGAAGGTGTAGATTCAAAAAAAAAAAAAAAAAAAAAAAAGTGTCTAAAAAGCAGGTGTAGGGGCGCCTGGGTGGCTCAGTCTGTTAAGCTTCTGTCTTTGGCTCAGGTCATGATCCCAGGGTCCTGGGATCGAGCCCCGCATTGGGCTCTCCGCTCCGCAGGGAGCCTGCTTCTCCCTCTCCCACTCCCTCTGCTTGTGCTCTCTGTCAAATAAATAAATAAAATCTTTAAAAAATAAAAAAGCAGGTGTATTCGTAATTGCCAAGCTGCAGAAGCAACCGGGGCATCCTTCAGCGGGTAAATGGCTAAACCGTGTGCATCCAGACGCCCAGGCTCCCCTAAAATTGAAATTTTGAAGATTTAGTTCCAGATTTTGATCTTTTTTCTTAACAATGAGTATTATTCAGCGCTAAAAGAAATGAGCCATGAAAAGACTGAGAGGAAACTTAAATGCATATTCCTAAGTGAAAGAAGCCAGTCTGAAAAGGCTACATACTGTATGATTGCCGCTTTTTGACATTCTGGAAAAGGCAAAACTATGAAGACAATAAAAAGATCAGTGGTGCCAGGGTTGGGGAGGGGAGGGATGAACAGATGGAACACAGGATTTTAGGCAGCAAAAATATTCTGTATGAGATTATAATGGTGGATACGTGTCATCCTGCATTTGCTCAAACCCAAAGAACATACAACACAGAGTGAACTCTAAAATAAACTGTGGATTGTGGGTGATTATCATATGTCAGTGCAAGTCCATCCTTGGTAGCAAATGTACCACTCTGATGAGATGGTGATCATGGGCAGGGGGGCGGCGTGGGGGTCGGCTATGAGAAATCTCCATACCTTCTCTTCAATGTTATTGTAAACCAGGTGCCTGGGTATCTCAGTCGGTTAAGTGTCTGGCTTCAGCTCAGGTCATGATCTTGGGGTCTTGGGATCGAGGCCGGTACTGGGCTCCCCACTCAGTGGGGACTCTGCTTCTCCCTCTCCCTGTCCTTCCCCCTGCTCGTGCTTACTCACTCATTCACACTGTGTCTCTCTTTCAAATAAATAAATAACATCTTTAAAAAAATTAAATTATAAACCTAAAAGTCTCTAAAAATCTGGGTCTTTTTATTATTTATTTTAAAAATTTTTTTAAAAAGATTTTATTTTATTTGACAGACAGAGATCACAAGTAGGCAGAGAGGCAGGCAGAGAGAAAGGAGGAAGCAGGCTCCCCACTGAGTAGACAGCATGATGTGGGGCTCGATTCCAGGACGCTGGGATCATGACCTGAGCCGAAGGCAGAGGCTTTAACCCACTGAGCCACCCAGGTGCCCCAAAACTAGGTCTTTTTAAAAAACATCTGAGACTTATGGTTTTATCTAAATAAACGTGTATGTATATACTGTTAAGAAAAAAGATCAAAATCTGGAACTAAAACTTCAACATTTCAATTTTAGGGGCGCCTGGGTGGCTTAGTGGTTAAGCGTCTGCCTTTGGCTCAGGTCATGATCCCAGGGTCCTGGGATCAGGCCCTGCATCAGGCTCCCTGCTCAGAGAGAGGCCTGCTTTTCCCTCTTCCACTCCCCCAGCTTCTATTCCCTCTCTCACTCTCTCTCTCTGTCAAATAAATAAATAAAATTTTTTTAAAAAATTTTCAATTTTAGAAATTTTATAAGTGGAACAGGAAAAAGCATGAAGATGTGTGACAGGTTTAAATTGTATTAGGGAGCTGTTGGAGAAAGAATAAATCTAGATACTGATAGCAAGAGTCTGTTTGAAAAGAAATTTTTTTTTTTTTGAAAAGAAATTTTTTAAAATATTTTTTATTTATTCATTTGAGAGACAGTGAGTGAGCACAAGCAGGAGAAGAGGAAGAGGGAGAAGGAGAAGCAGACTCCCTGCTGAGCTGGGAGCCTGATGAGGGGCTCAATCCCAACACCTGGAGATCATGACCTGAGCTGAAGGCAGACACTTAACGACTGAGCCACCCAGGCACCCCTATTTGAAAATCTTTATTCAGAATGGGTTATTTGGGTGGCCTGTAAGGTAATATTTCATTTCTCAACATAAATGTGTTAAGTTTGTTTGCTTTATATTGCCTTTTTTTCTGTTATACTTCTATGCACATGGTATTTCTTTCTTTCTTTCTTTGTTTTTTAAGATTTTATTTGACAGAGAAAGACACAGCGAGAGAGGGAACACAAGCAGGGGGAGTGGGAGCGGGAGAAGCAGGCCTCCCGCTGAGCAGGGAGCCTGAGCAGGGCTCGATCCCAACACCCTGGAATCATGACCTAGGCTGAAGGCAGATGCTTAACGACTGAGCCACTCAGGCACTCCACAATTTTTTTTTTTTTAAAGATTTTATTTATTTACTTGACAGGGAGAGATCTCAAGCAGGTGGAGAGGCAGGCAGAGAGAGAGAGGGGAAGCAGGTTTCCCGCTGAGCAAAGAGCTCGATGTGGGGCTTGATCCCAGGACCCTGGGATCATGACCTGAGCCGAAGGCAGAGGCTTTAACCCACTGAGCCACCCAGGCACCCCTCTTTTTTTTTTTTCTTTTTTTAAGATGTATTTATTTATCTGAGAGGGAAAGAGAGAGAGAGAGCACATGTGTGGGGAAGGGGCAGAGGGGAGGGAGAATCTTTAAGCAGACTTTGCAGTGACTGCAGAGCTCAATGCAGGGCTTGATTCCACAACCCTGGGATCACAACCTGAGCCAAAACAAGAGCCAGACGGTTCACCGACTGAGCCACCCAGACACCACACACATGATATTTCTTAATAAAACATTTTAAAAACAAAAATAGAAAAAAGAGGGTGGGAACCCACTTATATGCATTCTGACTATTACGGACTCAAACAGCGAGATGGGCAGTGCCTAGGACTGCATGAGCCCTGTTGGCCTCACCAGGAGGGAGGAGTACAGTGATACTGTGGCGCCTGGGAAAATGGCTTAGGTGTGACATGTGACCCCTCTTCATATCACGCACACAGCAGTGATGCCTTTAATCTTAAAATTGCAGTGACCTCACAGATGCAAAAATTCTCACCAAAATACTAGCCAATAGGATTCAACAGTACATTAAAAGGATTATTCACCACGACCAAGTGGGATTTATTCCAGGGCTGCAAGGTTGGTTCAACATCCGCAAATCAATCAATGTGATAAAACACATTAATAAAAGAAAGAACAGGAACCATATGATACTCTCAATAGATGCTGAAAAAGCATTTGACAAAGTACAGCATCCCTTCCTGATCAAAACTCTTCAAAGTGTAGGGATAGAGGGCACATACCTCAATATTATCCAAGCCATCTATGAAAAACCCATCGCAAATATCATTCTCAATGGAGAAAAACTGAAAGCTTTTCCTCTAAGGTCAGGAACACGGCAGGGATGTCCGTTATCACCACTGCTATTCAACATAGTACTAGAAGTCCTAGCCTCAGCAATCAGACAACAAAAAGAAATTAAAGGCATCCAAATCGGCAAAGAAGAAGTCAAACTATCACTCTTCGCAGACGATATGATACTCTATGTGGAAAACCCAAAAGACTCCACTCCAAAACTGCTAGAACTTGTACAGGAATTCAGTAAAGTTTCAGGATATAAAATCAATGCACAGAAATCAGTCGCATTTCTCTACACCAACAACAAGACAGAAGAAAGAGAAATTAAGGAGTCCATCCCATTTACAATTGCACCCAAAACTATAAGATACCTGGGAATAAACCTAACCAAAGAGACTAAGAATCTATACACAGAAAACTATAAAGTACTCATGAAAGAAATTGAGGAAGACACAAAGAAATGGAAAAATGTTCCATGCTCCTGGATTGGAAGAATAAATATTGTGAAAATGTCTATGCTACCTAAAGCAATCTACACATTTAATGCAATTCCTATCAAAGTACCATCCATTTTTTTCAAAGAAATGGAACAAATTATCCTAAAATTTATATGGAACCAGAAAAGACCGCGAATAGCCAAAGGAATATTGAAAAAGAAAGCCAAAGTCGGTGGCATCACAATTCCGGACTTCAAGCTCTATTACAAAGCTGTCATCATCAAGACAGCATGGTACTGGCATAAAAACAGACACATAGACCAATGGAACAGAATAGAGAGCCCAGAAATAGACCCTCAACTCTATGGTCAACTAATCTTCAACAAAGCAGGAAAGAATGTCCAATGGAAAAAAGACAGTCTCTTCAATAAATGGTGTTGGGAAAATTGGATAGCCACATGCAGAAAAATGAAATTGGATCATTTCCTTACACCACACACGAAAATAGACTCAAAATGGATGAAGGACCTCAATGTGAGAAAGGAATCCATCAAAATCCTTGAGGAGAACACAGGCAGCAACCTCTTTGACCTCAGCCGCAGCAACATCTTTGTAGGAACATCGCCAAAGGCAAGGGAAGCAAGGGCAAAAATGAACTATTGGGATTTTATCAAGATCAAAAGCTTTTGCACAGCAAAGGAAACAGTTAACAAAACCAAAAGACAACTGACAGAATGGGAGAAGATATTTGCAAACGACATATCAGATAAAGGGCTCGTGTCCAGAATCTATAAAGAACCTAGCAAACTCAACACCCAAAGAACAAATAATCCAATCAAGAAATGGGCAGAAGACATGAACAGACATTTCTGCAAAGAAGACATCCAGATGGCCAACAGACACATGAAAAAGTGCTCCATATCACTCGGCATCAGGGAAATACAAATCAAAACCACGATGAGATACCACCTCACACCACTCAGAATGGCTAAAATTAACAAGTCAGGAAATGACAGATGCTGGCGAGGATGCGGAGAAAGGGGAACCCTCCTACACTGTTGGTGGGAATGCAAGCTGGTGCAACCACTCTGGAAAACAGCATGGAGGTTCCTCAAAATGTTGAAAATAGAACTACCCTATGACCCAGCAATTGCACTGCTGGGTATTTACCCTAAAGATACAAACGTAGTGATCCGAAGGGGTACGTGCACCCGAATGTTTATAGCAGCAATGTCTACAATAGCCAAACTATGGAAAGAACCTAGATGTCCATCAACAGACGAATGGCTAAAGAAGATGTGGTATATATACACAATGGAATACTATGCAGCCATCAAAAGAAATGAAATCTTGCCATTTGCGACAACGTGGATGGAACTAGAGGGTATCATGCTTAGCGAAATAAGTCAATCAGAGAAAGACAACTATCATATGATCTCCCTGATATGAGGGAGAGGAGATGCAACATGGGGGGTTAATGGGGTAGGAGAAGAGTAAATGAAACAAGTTGGGATTGGGAGGGAGACAAACCATAAGTGACTCTTAATCTCACAAAACAAACTGAGGGTTGCTGGGGGGAGGGGGGTTGGGGGGGTGGGGTTATGGACATTGGGGAGGGTATGTGCTATGGTGAGTGCTGTGAAGTGTGTAAACCTGGCGATTCACAGACCTGTACCCCTGGGGAAAAAATAAATATATGTTTATAAAAAATTAAAAAATATATATAATAAGTAGGTTAAAAAAAAAAAAACTGCAGTGACCTGAGATCACACATCTTCCACCTCCAAAAACAGTTTTGTTGGTCAGACTGTGTGCTGCAATTGTTTACTCAGAAAACCTGGTAGACCAGTCCATGAGGCTTTCTCTGAGGATTTCTGGTGGCAGAAACCCTCCTTCTCCTAATCCTGCTAACCCTTTCTACTTTGCTCTAGTTACATGTGATTTAACCCCATGAACAAACTATTCTCCAGATCCTCCTTTTTCCCCCACTGCCCTTCATTACATATTCCTGGGGAAAAAAAAAAAAAAAGAGGAACTGAGAAACCATGGTGGTTATGAGCACAGGAGCCAGACACAGCCAGGCCTCCAGCTTGCCCTGCACCAGCTCAGTGGCCTTGGGCAAATAGGTCATTTGATCTTTCCAAGTCTCAGAGTTCTCACCTGTGACATGGGGATAAAAACCTATCTCACAGTACAAACAAACGGATAGGTGGTAAAGTGTTTATCATTAGTATACTGTCTGGCACATAACTACTATCTCCTTTCATGAGTTATTATTTCGCAGATCTACAACTCCATCAGTCTTGGTCAAGACTGGAATGGTCAAGAAGGAATGCAGGATTAACATGGATCTGATCAGTAGACAGGACAAGATGCATTCTATTATTAAGTGATCTTGAAAAATTCAAGTTTTTCCTTGCTCCTGGTTAAAATATCAACCTTTCTTGCTAGCGAGGAGAGTCTGGGGAGGAAGGCTTTGACAAGCAACCCCAGGGCCCCTGCGCCCTGCCCAGGGGGAGGTGTGGAGTTGGATGGGTTATGTTGGTCCCCTCCCCTTTGCATCCTGTCTACTGGACTGAGGTCTCTGTTGGTGGGGAGGCTGGCTGGGAATGTTCCAAGGCACCTACCTGGAGGCTGTCTGTACTGGTTCCTCCGTCTTCTGCTCTGTAGAGGAAACGGGTTCTGATGTGCTTTCTGACTCTTCAGGGAGACATAAAGAGCCCCACTCAGAATTCTGGGGGGGCCTGTCAGAGTCTCCTAGCCTTGGGTTCTTTGGGGGCTTCGGAGGACGGACTCCTTCTCCTCCTGATTTAGAGAGAAAGGAAGATAAAGGGATGGGAGATGCAGGGAGTGTGCACTGTCATGGCTGACACCAAACGTGGCAGGGCCACAGCTGCAACATGAGCAAGCTTATTCCAAGGGTAGGAAACCCCCGCTCTGACTCTAGCCTGGAGAGAGACAGATGGGATGGCACCTTGTCCAAGAGCTTAGGTGGCCATGGGATTTAAAGGCTTTTTACCTAAGGACCGGTCGTGACTGAGACTGAATCCTGAGGTGGCCTGGCACCAAACTACATCAGATAACCTGGCCCAGCCAACTGTCTCTCTAGGAAGGTGGTGAGAGGTGTGTACTGGCTTCCTTGGGTCTCAGCTCAAATGCTGATGTAAAGGGCCATTCCAGACTCCTCTAAAGAGCACCCTCTTTCAGACCCATGCTCTTTTTTTTTATTCTCTTCACACCTTTTTATTTTTTTTTATATTTTTTATGATCCTAGGCATTTTTTTAAAAGATTTTATTTATTTATCTGACAGAGAGAGATCACAAGTAGACGGAGAGGCAGGCAGAGAAAGAGAGAGAGGGAAGCAGGCTCCCTGCTGAGCAGAGAGCCCGATGTGGGACTCGATCCCAGGACCCTGAGATCATGACCTGAGCTGAAGGCAGCGGCTTAACCCACTGAGCCACCCAGGCGCCCTCTTCACAGCTTTTTAAAAAATTTAATTTTTTTTGAGAGAGAGAGGGGAGAGGACGAAAAGAGACTCTTAAGCAGGCTCCACACCCAGTGCAGAGCCTGACACGGGGTTCGAGGTCAACCCTAAGATCATGACCTGAGCTGAAGTCAAGTTGGAAGCTTAACCACCTAAGCCACCCACGTACCCCCACTTCAGTTTTTGTTTTTGTTTTTTTTTGCCAGTAGCTATGCACTGGTTATTTTCCACCTCCCTCAATATAAGGAGGGGTCTTTCTCACCCTCTGCTGAGTTTCAAGTGGCTTGAAGATCATCTAGTATACTGTTGGTACCCAATAAATACCTGGTAGATGACTGAATAAACATCTTTGTAAAACAGAGATCACCACCAGGAAACACAGACAGGACTAAATTATGTGCCACTCTAGTTTTCTGTGATGCCTGCCGATTGTCTGTCCTGGGAAAACTGGGACCTAGAGTCGTCAAGTACTAGGAAGGTGATGTCCCAGCTGCCCCTTGGTCTCTTCTATCTCTGTGATACCTTCCCCATCACTGAAAAAAACAAACAATTAAGAGCCTAACACCTATTTGCTGAATGAAGGAAACTTCCTTACACAGAAACTGCCAATAGTGGCTGACTTCTAAGACCTCCCCAAACCTGGCCCCAAACCAATCATTCAAAAAACAAATGATAGGGGAGCCTGGGTGGCTCAAGCCTCTGCCTTCGGCTCAGGTCATGATCTCAGGGTCCTGGAATCGAGTCCCGCGTCGGGCTCTCTGCTCAGCGGGGAGACTGCTTCCCTCCTCTCCTCTCTGCCTGCCTCTCTGCCTACTTGTGATCTCTGTCTGTCAAATAAATAAATAAAATCTTAAAAAAAAAAAAAAAACAGGGGCACCTGGGTGGCTCAGTGGGTTAAAGCCTCTGCCTTCGGCTCAAGTCATGATCTCAGGGTCCTGGGATGGAGCCCCGCATCAGGCTCTCTGCTCGGCGGGGAGCCTGCTTCCTCCTCTCTCTGCCTGCCTCACTGCCTACTTGTGATCTCTGTCAAATAAATAAATAAATAAATAAATCTTTAAAAACAAACAAACAAACAAATGATAAGGATTGAATCTAGTGAGTTCCATGACAGACGCTGTCCCGAGAAGTTGGGTGCGTTATGATAAACTTCAAGATGGGGTTCCCACTGTTACATCCATCTTATGGATTAGAAAGCTAAGGCACATGGAGGCCAAGGAATCTGGAATGGGATCCAGTCAGTGCAACTGCAGAGCCTGCACACCTAAAGGTACCTGAGTATTTATTGAGCACCTACTATGGACTATGCCTCTCACCCCACAGTGAGAACGAAAAGGCAAACCAGACCTTGGCCTGATCTTTCTGGAGGTCTGTCAGGGAGACCCTTTCCAACCTCAGCTCCTTATACAGCTTGAAGCAAACCCACTGAATAAGCTCCCTCTCCCCAGTACTGATCACCAGGATCCTCATTAGCATTCACTCGGCTGTTTGTGCTCCAGAAGACCACAGTGACTTTCCTATAATTTCTGGATTCCATAAGTTATGGTGTGCCCGTTTAGAACTTCACTGTACTGCTGTGTATTTGATTAGTGCTCTCAGGTAGAAGCATTTTTCTTTCTCCCCTGAGTAGACCCTAAGGGTCACAAGGGCAGGAACTGAGTCTATTGCACCCTCTGATCTCCTCCTTGTCCTGCTTGTCACCCCACCCTGCTTAGGTGTCCACCCCAGTGCTGCACTCAGAGCAAGGCTCCAATGAATGCTTCTTACACAACCATATTCCCATCTTGTGGTCTGCCATAAAAGAGGCAAAATTAAGCAGCTTTGTTTATTTGGTTTCTTAAGATGCCCAAACACTAGCTCACTTTGCTCATCCAGTGGACATGTGCACCAAATAAAAACCAAAATATCAACAGAAGTGAAGAGCCTCCCATTTCCTTCCTGTGATCTATCCCCACAGGACTAATTTAAGAAAAACTAAAGGCAGAACTTTATGTTCAACACCAAAGGCCAAAGATGTTGGGAGGGAAGGGCTTCTTTCACCACCTGCCAGAATCGTCTTCTGTCCCCACCTCTTCCAGGACACACAGAAACAGCTGTCCTGGACCAGCCTTGATCCACTGAGCTAGGGAGCTCACTGCCAAGAGAGGCCCCAAATGACCTGCTGTGGGTGGGCCTGGCTGTCCCCAGCTTCCCCCAGCAAGGTCAGGGAAATTCCTATGTTTCTGAGCAGCCTGTTGTTCATCTCTACACAAAACATTTTTAATCCATTGCTAATTTTTCTATCCCACATTGTGGGGAAAAAAAATGAGTACTGCTCCCTATGCTCATTATCCAGTAAGTAGTCATTTCTAAACTTTTTTTTCCCCAAAGAGTTTATTTATTTGACAGAGAGAGACAGTGAGAGAGGGAACACAAGCAGGGGGAGAAGCAGGCCTCCAGCTGAGCAGGGAACCCGATGAGGGGCTTGATCCCAGGACCCTGGGATCGTGACCTGAGCCAAAGACAGACGCTTAACAACTGAGCCACCCAGGCACCCTCATTTCTAAACTTTTAAGAAGTTTAAATTATCTTCAACAATGACAGGGAAATGGAGCTATGCTATGCAGTGCTAGGTGTTTTTCTTTGTGCATGAGAAAACTACATATATACCTATATGTGTATACACACACACACACACACACACGAACAAATAAAGATGGTCATGATATTCCATAAAATGAAAAATGGGGATTACAGATCAGCATGTGTGATGATTCTATTATCTAGTAAAAAAACACTGTATTTGTGTATACAAAGAAGTTTGGAAGTAGGGTACTGAGGTTCATTGCCTGGCTTTTGATGCTGTCCTGTGATTTATCATTGTCCTGTGGTTGCGTTGGACATTAACCTTAGGGGAAGCTGGAGGTAGGGTAGAAAGAACTCTGAACTATTTTTGCAAGTTTTTTGTAAGTCCCAAATTATTTCAGAATGAGAAGATTTGTGGGGTTTTGTTTTATTTTGTTTTAAGTCTGGGAGGAGAATCATAATACCAGCTGACACTTGTGTACGACCTAAGGTCTATCCTTCATGCTTTACAAATACTAATCCACATATGAGCTCTAGGGCGAGTTCTCTGCCTTGGTACTCTTGATATTTGGGACCAGATAATTTTGTATTGTGGGCAACTGTCCTGTGCATTGTAGGATTTAGTATCTCCCTGGCCTCAACCCGCTAAATGCCAGTAACCAGCCTGCACCACATACATCAGTTATAGAAACCAAAAATGTCTCTAGACATTTCCAGTGTCCTCTGAGAGGCACAAATCCTCCCCCAACCAGGCTGAGAATCATTGTTTGAATGGAAAGGGAAAGTGCCTTTATTATCCTCTATTTACAGAAGGGGGAAACTGAGGTACAGAGTAAATCATCTGCCATAGCACAGGGAGCCTGAGAGCTGGGATGAACCCAGGGTTTTGATTCCAAAGCAAAACACTTAACCACACACCCAATGACCCTGTAGCACCTCAAAGACCTTGTAGCTCTATTCAAAGGTTGTCTCTGAGAGTGCACCCCTGGCCTAAGCCCATGGGATCCCACCAGAGACTGGAGGAAACTCCAGAAAGCTTTCACTTTCTACTGTATGAACTTCCTACAATTTATACGTTTCTTACTAGCATGTATTAAATCACCTTTTCCCCTGAGGAGCTTGATGTGGTCATGTTAGCATTTCTGCAACAAATAAACCTACAATCCTCCTATAACCAGAAGCAGCAATAAAGCAGTGCCAACTTGAATGTCCAAATACCTGAAGTCCGAAGCTTTTTCCTCTTACTCATTTTATCCCTCTTTTGAAAAACCTGAAAATGAGCAAAATCCCATCATTACAAGTAGTTCCTGTCTCTGGGTACAGACAGACCCAGTGACCCTGGCTGAGGGCAGAAACCACCCTCACTCCACCTCACCCTATCTGGCTGGGGGGCCAAGCTGGGCTCCAAGGGGACACGGTAGGGGGAGTCACAACCACCTTGGGCCATGACCCGGTAAGAATTCAACCTTCCTTCATGCTGCAGGGAGCAGAGGGAACTGCCCATCTGCCCATCCAGGGAAGCCCTGACGACCCCAACTCTAGTCCCTAAATTAGGACAGGCTATGTGAAGCCGCCTCCCCTCTGGCTGTGGTCTGAGACCCTTGCAGGGACACCTGAGGATTCTGGAAGGAGCCACCTGGGGCCCTTCGAAGGTTCAGGGAGCCTTGTGGGGGATTCCTGGGGCCCGGAAGCAGGAGTCACCACAGACCAGCTCCTGCCAGCCCTGGGGTCCAGACAAGCCCCAACCGACCTGGGCCACTGAAGTTGTCAAGGTCGCTCTGTCCTTATCAGGAACTGAGTAGGTCTGCTCGGATCTGTTGGGAAACAATTCGGTTAAGTCATTTGCGTTAGGATTTTCAAAAGGCCAAGTTGGCTCTCACGGAGGCCGGGCAGCAGGGGGTCTGGAGCTGAAGGGCCGGAAGGCCGGAAGCCTGAGAGCTATGAACCCGACTTCCGGTGACCAGACCTACATTAACTCCACCTCGACCACCTAAAAGTGTGGAATGCCCAGAACGGGGCCGCCAGGAGAAGCCAGAGCCCACAGGTGGCCACGGGACGCCGCGAGTCCGGGAGCCGCCACCGACCCTCACACCTGTTCGCGCGCGCCGCCTCTTTCCCGCGCAACCAGCGGCCCCGTCGTGCGCATGCGCCGTGCTAGCACCGCCCCTCACACTCACACACCACGCGCGACCCGCCTCTTTCCCGGCGCAGCCCACAGCACCGCCCACCGCCCCGCAGTACGCACGCGTACCCGCGCATTGCCTGCCGGGAGTTGTAGTTTCAGTGCGGCGGGCCCAGTAAGTCCAGTGGCTGCGCTCCGGTGCCGCGGCGCCTGAGGGCCGAGGCGGAAGTGAGGCAGCCACACCGGGGGTCGAGGGCGCAGGGTCAGCGGTCGCGGGGAGCTCGCGAGGGGCGCGGGGCTCAGGAAGTGCGCGTGCGCGGCAATAGACCCCGGGGGAGGAGGCAGGGCAAGGCCAGGCGAGGTGGCCAGTGGCCTGGGCATCCATCCTGGAAGATGCACAAGAGGAAGGGACCCCCGGGACCCCCAGGCCGAGGTGCCGCCGCCGCCCGTCAGGTGAGTTTGTACCCCACGGCCTCGCCTAGGGAACCCTACTCAGCCCTATCACAGGTTCAGGGGAGGGCCCCACCCCCCCGGGAAACCCGATCACCACCCGCAGGTAAGCCCCGGTCCCCGCCCTCCAGATGAGGTTGTGACCCCAGAGTGCGGCCTCCTGGCCCCGGCTCCCCAGCTTCTCAGCTCTTGGCGCCCCGCCCTGGGCTCAGAGCCACCTGTTGCCGCAGCCTCTCCAGTTTGGGAGGGGAAGGCCTCGGACCTGGGATAAGGATAGTTCCTGCACTCCTGGCCCCAACACGCACGGAACCTCCCATCGGCCAGGCCAGATCAGACTCATTTTATCCCCACTGTACAGATGAGGACACTGAGGCCCAGAGAGGTGAAGACAGCTTCCCAAGGTCATAGGGATTAACAGCTTGGCCAGAGCTAAGTGCAAATCCAGAGCTGCTGCCATGAGCGCATGGGACTATGTCTGGCTCTCCTTTCCCTCCTCCATCTCCTCTGCCTCAGGCACCTGGACAGTTTGTTTTTTCTCAGCTTTGATGGAAGAAGCACAGGCCACAGCTTAGTGCCGGGGTATTAGAGTCTGGCCAGCCTGGAGTTCCCTGCTGGCCTTTGTACGTTGGACACTCGGCTTCACAGCTCTTATGCCTCAGATTCCTCATCTGTAAAATGGAGGCCCTAACAGTCCCTATGTCATAGGACAGGTGTGAAAATTCATTGAGATAGTTTATGGAAAGTGCTAGAACATAGCACTCAGTAAGTGTATCTTCGTTATTATTCTTAAAAGGAGCCATACGTAATTGCCCATTTTGACCCACAGAAAAGGCAATTTTGTATAGTTCAACATATTAACACATCATGATTGGTTATGAACCAGGGTGGGATAGCTTCCCTTGTCCCAGGTCCAATATCCAATGAAAACCCCACTCTCAACTTCTTTGGTGTTGTCCGGGCTTCTCTTTGCTCTTGCAGCCTTCCTGCATGGCCCCCTCTGCTGAGTATGCTGGAAGGAAAAGCCCAGGTGTGGAGAGTGGCTTTACTTTGGGCAGGGTGTGGGGCCTGCTTTTCCCACTGAACTTGGTCAGCAGCATATCATGGGCGTGGGCTCAGAGCAGGGAGCAGGGTCTCTGCCTGCCCTTTGCCCCGTACTGATCTGTGCAAGAGGGCCTGGCCCATCTTGGGACACCTGTTGCATTCTGAGCTTGTTCCGGCCTCCTGGCACTCCCCAGGGAAAATGACTTTCCCCAGGAGGTCTGGGTTTCCTTCCTCCTGAGCGAACTCTGGGTCCATTGTGGCTGCCTCCGAGGTCTGATTGGACCCTTGCTGTTCCCTCAGCTGGGCCTGCTGGTTGACCTCTCCCCAGACGGCCTGATGATCCCTGAGGATGGAGTTAATGATGAGGAACTGGAGGCCGAGTTCTTGGCCTTGGTTGGGGGCCAGCCCCAAGTCCTGGAGAAGCTCAAAGGCAAAGGTAAGACTCAACACACACCTGAACAGTTTTTGAGCTCCTGCTGTGGGCGGGGCTCAGTGCTGGACCCTGGGGAGAAGGAGGAAAGGAAACAGAGAAGGTCTTTGACCTCCTGGAACCCACAGCCTGGGTAAGGGGTGAAGTGATGAACTCTGGACCCAGGGTGAGGGTTCAAATCCCACCTCTGCCACTTACTGGCTCTGTGACTTAATAAGTCCTAACATCTCTGTGGGCCTCAGTTTCCCCATCTGTAAAATGGGAATAATGACTGCACTTAATCACGGGAGTTACTCTTCTAGTGTTTATAAAGCACTTCACAGAGGGTCTAGCATTTCCTCCAGCTTGCTGTCCCATGATCAGGGCTGGGATGAGGGAAGCACAGAGCGGTGGGAGAGACCTGTGAGCTGGGTCCAGATGCCTGCAAGAAGCACCCACAGTAAGGAGGGCCAGGTGAAGAGCTGGGAAGCGCTTTTGGGAGAGGCCACAGCCCCTGCAAAAGCCCCCTAGGGGAGGTGGCAGAGGGCAGCAACTCTGTAGTGGACAGAGGGGCTGGATCTCCGAGGGCAAACGGAACCTTGATACTTTACCAGTAATTCAGTCAGTCCTCATTATTGATGGATTCCATATTTGTGAATTTTCCCTATGGGCTCAACTTTATTTGTAACACCCAAATCAATGCTTGCGGAGCTTTTGCACTTACTGGCAGGCTGGGCTGAGCTGCCGGAAGTTGGAGTCGCTCAGCACAGATGCTCCCAGCTGAGGCAGAGCACGGTGACACTTCATTCTGCCTTGTCCCTGGGTGGGCTGTGAACAAGGCTCCTTTCCACAGTCTGTGTCAGACTGCTTTTTTTTTTTTTCCTCATTGTGGTGCTTTTTGTTGGTGGTTTTGCTCTTCAAAGTGGCTCCCGAGTGTAGGGCTTAGTGCTGTCTCATGTCTCTAAGAGCAAGAAGGCTGTGAAGTGTCTTTTGGAGGAAAGATGTAGCAGATGAGCTTTATTCAGACGTGAGTTACAGGGCCGCTGTTGGCCTTGAGTTCAATGTTCACAAATCAACAACCTATTTTTAAAGAGGTATCATTCGATAGAAACACACATCAAGTGAGGTTACGTATTGACTGGTTGACAAAAATGTGCCCAGAGGCTCATGGGACCTGAAACTTCTATCTCCTTTAAGGGGCAGTGGTCCAGTGTTCGAGGAGTGGGCGTTTACGGCAGTTTCATAGAACGTAACTAAGGCAGTTAATGAGAATAACTCAAGTAACAAAATGCTGACCACATGCTGCTCTGGAGTTTCCTCCATCTTTACTTCCCACCAACCACTTGTGAGGGAGAAACTCTAATCATCATCCAATAGATGGGAAGACTGAGTCCCAGGCAGGGCAAGTGACTTGCCCAGGGCTCCAGAGCGAGAGAGCTGTGGAGCCAGGGTGCCAAGGTGGGCTTGATCAGGAAGAGACGAGACGAGACGAGACGTGGCGGGCTGGCTTTGCGGGGATCGGGATCGTAGCTGGTGGTCCTGAGGACTGTGGTGGGGTGCCCGTGGGAGGGCTGGGAGGAGGACATGCTGCCCTGTTCTTTGGGGCCATGGGTCACTGGGATGGGAGGCTGGGGACTCTTGAAGGATCCCAGTCCAGCTGGGGCCTCTCCCTGCCGCCAGGTCCCCTGCCCATGGAGGCCATTGAGAAGATGGCCAGCCTGTGCATGAGAGACCCGGATGAGGGTGAGGATGAGGGTACAGACGAGGAGGATGTGGAGGCTGACAATGACCTGCTGGTGAGCACCCCGGGGCAAGGCAGGGGGCCTCCCATGCTGTCATTGCGCCATCCAGCGGGCCCTCAAGCTCAGCCCGTGGCCGTGTGCCCCTGCAGGCAGAGCTAAACGAGGTCCTTGGGGAGGAGCAGAAGACTGTGGAGTCCCACCCTCCTGCCACTCAGGTACAGCCCAGCTGCCTGCTCCCCATTGCCCAGAGTTCGAGGCCTTTCCTGGCCCCTCAGCCATGTTACCTTGGGCATGTGACATGACACCTCTGAGACCCAGTTCTCAGCACCAGGAATGGGGATAATGGTTTCCTGGTTGTGGGGGGCAGTTGGGGACAGCTGGGCCAGGGGCAATATGCCTGGTGTGTGTGGAGACACTTGACAAGGGAACTCTTGGGGAGAACTCAGGTGGGGTCGCCACCCAGACCATGCCCCGGTCCCTCCTGCAGCCAAAGGCCACAGCCCCCAGCCCAGGGGTGGAGGCCACCTTGCAGGAAAGGTTGGCCCTCTACCAGACAGCGATCGAAAGCGCTAGGAGAGCTGGAGATGGTGCCAAGATGCGGCGCTACGACCGGGGGCTTAAGGTGAGCCGGCAGGTGACAGGAGGGTGCTGGCACCCTACCACTGCCCATTGCCGCCAGCTCCAGGCTCCTCTAAAACCTGCTTTCACACCTTATCTCAGACACTTGAAAACCTGCTGGCCTCAGTCCGGAAGGGTAACACCATCGATGAAGGGGACATCCCGCCACCTGTGGCAGTGGGGAAGGGCCCGGCAGCCATGCCCTGCCACACTCCGACACCCACCCAGCCGTCATCTGCAAACCAGCCAGTGCCAGAGCCCAGGGTCACAGTAGAAGGCCTTCCTGCCACTGCTTCCACCACATCCATTGGCTTGACTAAGCCCCAGCTTCCTCCAGGTAGGCCAAGGGTGGGGCTGGGCTGACCTGAGATTTGTGGGGGTGGTATTCAGCAGTTGGCCATTTTGTGGGTGTGCTGAGTCAGTCATTCATTAAATATTCTTTCATTCATTCATTCATTGGGCATGTGCAAGCAGGGGGAGGGGCAGAGGGAGAGAGAAAATCCCAGCTCTGTGCTGAGCTTCTAGCCCAGCGCCGGGCTTAGTCCCACAGCCCAGAGATCATGACCTGAGCTGAAATCAGGAGTCAAAGGCTTAACCAACCGAGCCAGCCAGGCACACTGATTGTTAGATATTCTGAACACCCCTCCCCTTCCTAGGTCCTCATGCCTCTGGATTTCACCAATACCTTTTTTCTGTGTGTGGAGATATAATAGGTATAACATAACATTGGCCGTTGTAACCATTTTTC